GAAGCTTGCATACTGCGATAAAAAAAATCAGAGAGCATGCCGTAGGTACAAGAAGCAAGCAAATAGCCAGCTTAATTAATTAGTAGGACCTCAATTGCTTAGACTAATTCAATTGCAGCTGGAAGACACAAGACCAACCCACATGATTAACTAACTGTATTACATGCTCAGAGTCAAATTAGAGAGATGGCACGTCTTGGGATGAAATCTAGTTGCTGAACAAAAATTATGGTGACATTCTGCCATGCCCAGAGTCGTAATTCATAGGTAGGTGGCGATTTAAACAGGAAGAAAAAGACCATGACATTTTTTGTACCAGTGCAATAACACCGCATAAGCAAGTTTTCATGAAATTGCAACACGAACTGACCTTTTTTTTCAAACACGCCTATCGTTGGGTTTGCAGAAACACCAGGTCCCTGGAAAGCAAGCTTGCTACAGTATGATCTCTCTAAATGTTCAGCTCCGGCTGCTACGGAAGTATGCTTCAAGGCAACAAGAGAGTGATGGATTTATGTGGAGGGCATCAAAAATATGGAGTAGAACTTGTATTACCCTAAGAACCAGCATTGGGGCAGAGAAATTAAACCTTAGATCCAGCAAGGAAGCTTTAGTATTTAGATCACATGATCGGAATATGCATTTGGCCTCCTCCCGGGGCGTAGGATGTGCAGCTTCAGCAAGTAGTGTATTTCCAGGTACCTTCAAGTGGTGTTTAGCTAGCAAAAAAATTCAGAGAATATTAATTTTCAAAACCAGATAAACTCTGTAACAATCAGTCAAAGAACGGTGGTTTCCGCTAGTTCCAGAAAAGAAGAGGACAGGTTCCAGATGATTGGATATGTTGTGCTTGGTCAATATAATTTTAGTAAATATCACACCATATACCTTCAGAGTTCTGGTTGCCAAGCATCTTTAGATGCCCAACCTTCAGTCAAGATGGCAATGGCATCATCTTCTCTCACCTACAGGCTACAGTCCTCTTCTACTCTTGTTCCTCCTGGCCTACTCGTGCAGCGCATCGCCCAGCGGTCAACCCTCCTGTCCTGTAAAGTGGGTTGGCCCGGTGTTCCCATACTGACAATGCCCAAACATGACAAATTTTTGCATGATTTTCAGATTGCATCACTGGACAGGAAACAATGGTCCTGGAAATTAATCAAAGCACCAAAGTCTCACCATTAATCTATGGACGACGTCGTTCTCCCAATCGGAATCCTCGTGGTCCCAAATGCTAAATGGTTCAAACTATGTAAGAGAACCGCACCAGTCAATCGAACATGAAACAATGGTGATATGAACCAAATACTGTGTGAACATTTTGTAAACCTTTGTAGTATTTATGAGTGAAACTGCCTTGAAATGCAACATATCAACACATTTATACCAGTTGTGCGATGTGCCCTGTTAGTTTGCCATTCCATAATCCATTGCCATCAAAGTAGCTGGCATAATGCCCTCAAAATCGTTCCCAGGGTGATCCATTAACCTAGAGACAGAGCACCAATTTCAGTAAACAAATAAGCAAAACATAAGGTTGTAATGTAATGAAGATCTCAGCTGTACAATAAAAAAGAGAGAAGCTATTGTATCTAATTAGAAGCAGCAGTGCATGTCATGGTATATACTTATATTATGTACATATTTCGATATCAGAACACCCAAGTAGTCTGTTAACATATTCACAATGCTCCGTCAATGGTAAAACAGTGCTAGTGTAATGAGTGAAAGTTTATTTGTGCCTCTTTGTACCTCCAGCATCAAGGCCATTCTTCTCGTCTCAATATTCCGGAGCAGCAAAACAAATGAGTCGAAGCTTTGATAGATAGCATGCGTTGTTATACGCTCGGCAGAACAATCCAAACTACAGTCCAAAAATCATTTGCGGACGTGATAAATTATGACATTGGTTGGTGAGGAACCGCCCCTATCCAAATATCCTGGATCGATACAAATTAAAATTAGTCCAATGTATACAGATGAACAGCATTCAGTATTCCTCAAACAGCAACATCCATACAGCTGAAAATACAGTAAATATCAATACAGATTCAACAAACAAAGGTTTCTAACAAACCAAAGTGAATTAACTGAGTATGTCTAGGTAATGAATGTATTCGGCAAGGTACTGCTCAAGTGCTCAATATGTCTTGGACCCAGATAAGTTCAAATGGAGTTAACCGTAGCCATGTCGATGTAATTACTGCTGTAATTAGTAGCAATGACGATTTCTGCGAACGTACAGAGAATCTACCGTGCTCACTACTTGTGTTCCGGAAAACAGAACAGTTCCATTTCATGATCCGGTACCTTCCCTTGCTATTCTCTCGCAAAATTCTCCCCGTGAATGAAGAAGAAGAATACAGACGTGAACTGACCTTGTTGATGCGATCCCACCAGTGGAACTCGGGCTCGATCAAGCTACGGCCGTAGTTGAGCATCACCGTCGGATAGAAGAGCGCCCTGGCGAATACCTCCACGAACGCACGCTTCACGCCTAAGCTGCCCGCCTCATCACGCCCGTCAGAGACCATCTCGCCGCCGACACTCGCCTCGTCGCCGACGCCCCTCTCCTCCTCCCGCCCGGAGGGAAGCGCCGGGGGCATCTCATCGACGCCCCTCGCCCCGTCCGGCTCGTCGCTGACGCCCCTCGCCCCGTCCGGCTCGCCGCTGACGCCCCTCGCCCCGTCCGGCTCGCCGCTGACGCCCCTCTCCCCCTCCCACTCGGAGGGAGGCACCAGGAGCATCTCATCGACGCCCCTCACCCTGTTGCGCTCGCAGCTGCCCCCCACCTCCTCCCATACCCACTCCCAGCCCCAGGGCTCCACCTCGCCGCTGTCGACGCGGCTGACCCCAACCTCCTCCCGCTCCCAGGGATCCGCCTCGCAGCGACGTATCCGAGGCGCGGTGGTGGCGGTGCAGGCGGCGACGGCGTCCTGGTGATCCACGACGGCGGCGACGATCGCCGGCGTCTCCCTGGTTCGGCGGCGGCGGCTGCATCCCGGGAGAGGAGGAGCAGCGGCTTGGGATCTCGTCCGCGTCTTCTCTGCGAGGTCCGCGGCGGCGATCTGGTGCGTCTGCAGTCACAGATCGTAGGTCGAGGGGATCGAGAGAGCAGTCTCGCTCGTGCGTGCGAGTTCTGGTTTTTTTTCGTAGGTTTTCTTCCAGGACGGGAGGTTGGGCGGGTGCGAGACTCGATCGCGGGGTTTTTCTTGATTTTCGCGGCTGGGAGGAAGGTGGGAGGAAGTACCAAAGAAGTACAAAAAAAAACCAGGTGAGGTGGGACGAAAATAAAATCCGGAACGCGACCTACCAACTGAGACATTAGGAGTAGAGATTTTTTGCATGTACTACATGCATGCACCATTCTGTTGGAGAGACACGTTGCTTCCTTACTTTGCAGCTAAGGTTGCCGACATGCACTTGGATATTTTACTTTGCAGCTAACTGTTGTAGCAATGCTCTTGCCGACATCCTCATATTTTGAGTACTCTGCCTACGCGGCAAGCAAGATTATATTTTAACAGTGCATAATTTGCCTCTCACCGTGAAAAACTCACAACTACAACTCTCTTTTAGCAACCACGGCAACGTGTCCAGTGCCGAGTGATCTACTACGAAAAGACCAAGCGCTCACAAGGCAACATTATCGTCGACGGCACATGCCAATAAGGAAGATGCTTTAGATGCTCTCAACACACTATTTTTGGATGGATGTAGAGTCGAGGTAAGCTTTGGTGGGAAGGTGGCAACGGCGGCCATCTTCCACCGGGACAAAACAACCTAATAATTTGTATAATCAAGAAAATAATAATCTAGTACTCAGAAGGAAAATGTTGCATCCATACTGCGGATTTTCTAGTAAACACCACTTTTTTTACTTTATTGATTCATTCCTGTATCGACTGAGTGCGATGCCTTTGCCCGTGAAAACATCACGTCTTCAACAAAAAATCACCGAAACAGATCATTCATCGCGTGATGTTTCTCCTTCAAGGAAGCGCCATGCCGGTGACTAAGCGATGACCAATTAATTCTTCACGAGTTCCTTATCTCCTTTGCCCAGCCATCGTCCTGTTCCCGGTCCTGGCCAAGAGAATTTGTGCATCTTGTTCCATGTTCATGTCGTCATGTCTAAGGCAGGGACGAACTCAAAACTCTGTCCTTTGCTTTGAGAGCCTACAGAGGAAAAATTGGAAGATGATGAGCCACACATTACCATAATTCAAGATGACGGAATAATGCGTATGCATGGCAGAGGTTTGGGTTTTGCCCACCTCTTTGTCCCAGTTGGTGCGCATGGTAATGGCCAGCAGCAACAGCATCTGCACAACTACCCCGCACATTATTCCCAACCACAGCCCCTGGAGTTCATACCATCACATTGGTTTTCAGAGGTTTCTTCAGATGAGAATGAAATACAAGTGAAAGTGCAACTTTCTGTATGCATGGTAAAATTATCAGTACCATTCCGCCGAGATGGAAGACAAAGGCAAAGCATAGCGCCGCTGGAATGCCGACAAGGTAGTACGCACTGAGATTGACACAAGCTCCAATCCTTTGCAAGCCACAGCCCCTGACAATACCTGGAATATATCAAGTGTATACCCCACGCTGCAATCAGTATCTTGAGAGTAATGTTCACCAAAATTGCTACATATCGTTCATCGAAATGATAAGTACGAGACAAGATAGACTGGAGTCCATCTAAAAAAAAGATAGATACAATAGATAGACTAGAGTTGAAATTCAGGAAATAGTCTGCAAGTACTTGAAATTCGAGTTATTTGGTGCATTTACCTGAAAGAACACATTGCAGATTGTCAAAAATGATCGACACGGAAAGAAGCAGCATCATTCTCGCAATGTATTCCACCACCTCATTCTCGTTGCTGTATGCGTACCCCCATAGATTGCACACCAAGAGCATAAGAAGTCCTACAGACACACCCGTCGCGAGGCTCAGAACCATGATCACACGAGTAGCCAGACGGGCAGCTTCAGGTCGCCCAGCACCAAGCTCGTTTGAAACACGGGTGCTACAATGACAAGATACACGATATGACTCTACGATAAAGTTGCAATACAGGCATGGCAAAGTTGTTTAGTCGTACCTTATGGCTGCCCCAAGACCGGAGGGGATCATGAATACTAATGAAACTGTGTACATGTAGGATCAGATTCAGTCGAAGATGGAGCGCAAAAATAAATATCTACCTACAAATCTAAGGGGCACAAACTAAAACTCACCAAATCATCAGCGCAGATGGCAAAGCAAGCTTCACGAAGCTAAGGATGCCGTGAAACGCCTCCTTTGAGAGGCCTGTCCAGGTGCTCCTGCAGGATGGAGAGACCCTGATGTAGATAGCCAAGATTGACACATTGGCCAGGTACGAGATGCCATTGGCCAGGGCAGCGCCCTTGTTGCCCAGCCCAAGCCTGTACACCAGCAACCAGCACACAAGCACGTGGCTCAGCGCCGTGACGCCTGCGCTCACCATCACCGGGAGGACGATGTTCTGCGTCTGGAGGAACCGGACGTAGCACTGCAGCAATCCGTAAGCGAATAGTGATGGAATCATCCACCGGATGTAGCTCCCTGCCCCCATGGCAATCTCTGGGTCCTGGCCGAAGAGCAGGAGGATCTGTCCCGTGTACGCCCAGAGCACCGCAACCACAACGCTCACCAGAGTGAGCACGAGGATTGCCCTCTGCTTGTAGATGCCGAGCAGATGGTACTGTCTTGCCCCGAAGGCTTGCCCACACAATGTGTCCAAGCTGCTCGCCATGCCAGACTAAGATGATTACGAACAGATACAAGAGAAGATATTCAGGTTGATGTTAGTTGTTCATTCATTCATGAGGATCAAAATATGTAGGAGAGGTGATGAATTCACATAAAATATACCAACAAGCTGAAGCCGGTGACACTGGCAAAGGAGGTGGCGATGGAGGCACTCGAGAGAGAGAGAGCTCACCGAGATGGCCGACAAACATGACCGATATCATCTGCACGACATGCTGCAGCAGGCATCCAGCGATGAGAGGCCCGGCAAGGTACAGCTGCTTCTTAACCTCAATCACCACCAAGCTCTCTTTTGGCCCTCCTGTCTCCTCAGTGCTGCTGTTGCCCCCAATAGGGGGCTCCTCCATGGCTGGCAACATGCTTGAAATCTCACGCCCTGGTTCTGAATCTGAAGAAGGTGGGTGTTAATTAACAGTTGAAGTGGGGTATATTTATCATGTTTGTGACAGTATATACTACTCCCTCTGTTCACTTTTATAAGGCGCTGAAGAATTTCAGACAGCGTGCAAAGTAGCCTATTTTCAGTTGTCTGAAATGACTTACAAAAGTGAACGGAGGGAGTAATACTAATCAACCTCGTCAATGCTGCATAGACCCGCCACTCGAGGAAATATTCAGTAAGGAAACCAAGAGGAAACAGACGCACAAACCTGGGTCAAGTGGACTAAAGAATCTCATCATCTCATGTGAGACCAAGGAGGCAGCTTGGCGGTCAAGTTCAAGACATCTGACACAATAAACTATCTGACGAGCAAACTTGGATGGAATTGTTAACATCACATGCTCGATCAGCCCATTTGCACTATTGTAGTCCAAAAAGCTCGAAATTTCACGACGGCCGGCGGCCGGAGCCCGGAGCCGCTCTCGTCGTCATGTGTCGTCTGTGAACCCCTGACGTGCTACACGACCTATTTCATGACGCGTACACAAACAAAAGGGAATTTCCTAAGATGCACTGCCATCAAGGTATTGGTTAACCACCCCGTGGTTTATTCATACGATGATTGTTTCTGCTTTAGGCAGCAGATTCTCATACGGAAAAAATCAAAAGCTGAAACCCAATAACTATTTGGAATCAGCTTTCCCAGTGAAACTGAATCTAGATTCGGGTTATTTTCAGTGCAATTTATTGAAACTAGTAAGCTTGCACGTGCAATGCACGTCTGACTTACCATCAAATGTGCTAATCTTTATTTGCAAGAAAGCAATATTTTTCATATAGACAAAACCTCCAGAACAACAAAATATTAATCAGATGTCATCATCTATCTGAACCGTCATACAAAGCATTGAAAATGGTCAAATGATTTAGAAGCTGATCTGTTGATAAGTATACTTTGGCTCTGGTAGCACTGAATATTAGTTCCAACAAAAAAAGAGCTGAAAAAGGCACAGTAATTCAGGTTGCCCACAAAACTCCATGTATCCATCACATATTTTTCATGTGTATGATCATGAACTTACCTAAAACAAAACAATCAAGAAGACTGTCATCCAATAATCCATTAGAAAACTGGAACGAAATGCCTACTGGTAAGGTGCTTCTAGTATTGGAAATTTTCTAGATTCTAACGCCTAACAACGTAGATACGTTAACATTCAACACCTAACAAATAGTATGCTCCACCATGTGTCTCAGAAAGTAGATATGTCATGGTAGTATCCAAGGTTTCCAAGTACGAGAGGTCTCCAAGGTTTCTAAGCATAACAAATCTAAATTCCATGTATTTGCAGCCTTGAGAATGATTTATACGATCATGAATTGAAATAAATGATTTGAAAATCGTCAAAGATAATGCACCAACGAATCAGTAGCATCAGTAACCTAGCTCCAGCCTCGCACATATAATATACCTTAGGCATGACGAAGAGAGCCAATTTTCCTAGGAAGAATATTATGTAAAGCCGTCAATTCTCAAGTTCCTAATTCAGAAATACATAAAGGCCTACATCGCAATTAATACATGCCATGTCAATTCTCAAATTCCTATTTCAGAATTACATAAAGGCCTACATCATAATTAATACATGCCATGTCAATTCTCAAAATCCTATTTCAGAATTACATAAAGGCCTACATCACAATTAATACATGCCATGGCACTGAAAGTATGCATGTAAATGATGATATGAAAAAACACTGTATTTTCTATTAACAAGTACGTAGAATGGAAAACAAAATCCTGTATGTAATATCTGATGTTGTTATGCTAACGACATGGATGTCACGAGACTTCTGTACAGCAAACATCAAAGTAGGTAGATTGTGAACTTATGACCTATGAATCTGCTACGTACTCTACATGGAATAAAACTTACATTCATTGCTATAATTCAGCATTTGGCGTGAGCTTAAGATAACATACAACAACTGAATACTGCAGCATGTTAAGAACTCCTTGCCTACCTAGAAAGCTAGAAATATTTGCAACAAAAAGGCACCAAATCTCTATCTTCCGCCACATAGAGATCCCCATGACCACCTGAACTTTCAATCAAATGGATGATTAATCACTACACGTCAACATTAGCTCCCCCAAAAAAGTACAAACCAAACCGTGACTTGAGAGGGAGATAAACAGGTCGAGTTTAATCATGGTCCCACATATTCCAAGTTTTCCTTGCTATTGTTATTTTGATCTGTGCACACAAATAATCAATTATTAACTGACATAGAGAGAAGAATTAGCAGGAAGACATAGAGGAATAGTACATGCTACATAGTAATCTTCTCTGAACCACAAGACAGAGCACAACCAGCTTCCTCTTCACAACCAGCACATGATCATCAGTATCAGGTAGGACCTAAACACCCTTAAGGTAAAATAGCATAAAACAATATAGACCCTGACTCTCCATTATGAAGAATGGAGATCATCCTGTCTCCAATTCTTGCGCTTCGCTTCCTTTTACTTCCAAGAAGCTCCTTACGACTGTCCATACATTTTTTCCATTCTTTGATTGTCATGTCTTCACTTCTTTTAGAAATCCAGTATGGACAGTTGAGATTCGTAGAACGACCTGGTTGTATGTTCAAAACATCAAGGCGACCGTGCGTATACATCAGATGAGGCACACAATCATTCGGGGTTATCTGTTGAAAAACATAGTAATAACTTCGTAGTTAGCAATGATGTACTAGTTTTAGAAGTATGCAAAAAGATGCATGAATGTCGTCATAGTAAAAAATCTTACCAGGGTATCTCCATGGTAGTTACCGTAGTTCAACACGTGCACTAGTGGCACGTATTGACCATAATGTTGAGGAGTTTGATTGTAAATATTATAATTCTCAAGATCAGTACAAAATGCGATCAGATGATTTTTCTCCTTATAAGTTAATTCGGAGCCATCGGTGTAGTGGGTTTTGTCTACCATCTTCCACACATTCTTTGAAGAATGAAAATAAGCTATCAATGGAAATAAGCTGTCAACTATTTTGAAATAAACAATATAAATTACTTAATAACTATGTTTGAGAAGCTCACATGGGGGAAGAATTGGAAGTGTATCCACAAGGACCCAAATGTCCATATTGTCTTGCTCGATTGTAGGATCACCAAGATCCATGGTGACAAGCATACCCTCATCAAAACCATACATCTTGCAAAGTGCTTCCCAATTTTTGCAACCAAAATGGGTTACACTCTCAGCATTGTACAACTTTACTTCAAAATCCACACCATGATGGGTCCTTAGGTGAATTTTTTTGGTTTCCATACTTTCATGGTCTTTAAAACCCATCCTCTCCAAGACATAGCGTCTTGCATATCATGGGATAAGCTAGTCAAATTGGAGAAGATGAAAAATACAGGTTAAAATAGTTGAAGTCGTGCTTAATTACGAAAAAACTATTATCGTCGTTGCATACCGTTTCAACATCGAAGGTCTCCTCGAGCCTAATGCTGAAGCGTCGATCTTCGTCCAGCTCAAGGAACCTGTCGCACATACCTCGGTCGTCGTGGCACCAGTCGCACTCCCCCGGGCGGTTTTCGTCGTCCGAGTACGACATTTCCAGCCTATGTTCATAATTCAAATATTAAACTTGTACAATTAAATATATGTACTAAAAAACCCAAATTAGATCATTATTATTAATCACGGGTTGACTATTGGTGATGGTAGCTCCTCCTTTCATTCCCGAGTGCATTATTACACCAAATTGTCTAGCACACGGGAATGAAGGAGAAGCTACCCCCACGACGACGTGGATGATGAAGGGGGCTCCTAGATTTCTGCAGAGTGCTCTTCAATTTTAGCATTCAAAGCAGGAGTACTTTTACAATATGAGCATTCAATAAGCACAACTAATTCTATATATAGTAAAATAAAGTAGTTTTATTAATTAAATCAACTAGTTCAACTACTAAGTACTTACTATAAATAAATGAAGTAGTACTTACTAAAAATAAACTACTTCTATAGTAAAATAAATTAGTTTATTAAATCAACTAGCTAGTTCAACTATACATTAAACACTTACTATAAATAAAATAAAGTAGTACTTACTAAAAAATAACTAGTTTAACTATAGTTCTATTATTTTTCTAACTAATTATATTAAATACTTTCTCTTCTTATTTTCCTTTTTCCTCTCTTCTAAATATGAACATATTCATAAATGACTTTGATCATACACAATTTTCCTATACATACACAATATGAACATATACATAAATTGACAAAGAAAATTCTATGAACAAAAAAATCATTAAAATTCTATGAACATATACATAATGTGATCATACGCAGGGGCCGACAGCGTCGCGGGGCACAACGCGCGGGGCGGGGGGCGGCGACGGCGTCAAGACGGCACGGGACGGCGTCGGGGCGACGCGGGACGGCGCGGGGCGACGACGGCGACGGCGAGGCAGAGACGGGCAGCCTGATGGCGTCGGGGCGGGGAAGAACGAACTGAACGAAATTTTGACGAGTGGCAGTTATATAGATGACGCATTGGTCCCGGTTCGTGAGACAAACCGG